CTAAGACCTAAGGCTTAACTATCATATAATCATTCAAGTCATGTAACTAATACTACTTTTTAATTTTTTTCAAAATCTTCGAACATAACAAAAAGTAAAAAAGTGCAACAACTTTGAACGTTTATAAAAAATTGAAAAAACATGTTCTTACTATTCGTAAGTATCTTAAAAACTTCCTTACGGTATCAGCTATTTACCGTAAAAATTTCATCAACCTAGCTTTACTACATGCTACCGTAATTGTGGCTCAAATAGAACCGAACCCAAAATTGGATAACCCTCTGCTCAATAGAAATTGTTAGTTTCGGAAAAAAAATTTGCAAAAACCACAAAAACACGTTTGATTTTTACTGAACAGCAGATTATTATTCATTTATGTTATTTACAAGAGGTTTTCAAAATGTCTGCCTCTAACAGAAATGCACAGTGTACACCTACGTATGAAATTTTGTTTTAAATCTCTAAATGCTTGTGTGTTGTTTTTCAACACATGTGTCGCTTGAATTTTGTTCCTCAATGAATTTTCATTTGCACATTCTTGGGCGAATGTTATGTCTTTAAAATATCCCCAAACAAAAAAATTATACGTTGCGTGAATATGCAGAAATGCATTATTATTATGGCGTTGCTCAAGGCAACGGCGCTTTAGCAGCTCAGCTGTACCGGGAACAACTTATACGCCGAGGCGGACCACAACCTGAGCATTACCCAGACCACCGTGTTTTTATTAACACACATAACACTTTCATGGCAGGCCGCATTCCAGGACGAGGAAGCAATGAAGGATATCCTACAGCTGATCCGGATCGCAGAGAAGTAGTACTTGAAGAAATTAGCCGGAATCCCTCAACGAGTACGAGATCTATGGCACAAAACCTTAGAATACCACGAACATCGATACAAAATATTCTTCATGAAGAAGGTTATGCCTATCATGTTCAAAGAGTTCAAGCGTTGATGCCTTCAGATTACCAGTTAAGAGTGGATTTCTGCGAGACAATGCTGCGAAGACAACGAGAGGATCCCGATTTTTTTGATAAAATTTTATGGACTGACGAGTCACGTTTTGAAAGAACAGGGATATTCAATATCCATAATTTACATACTTGGGCTGTTGAAAACCCCCACCAGTCAAGGCCGTCGACATTTCAACACCGTTTTAGTGTGAACATGTGGTCAGGAATATTCAATATGGAATTTATCGGTCCATTTGAACTGCCGTCAAGGTTGGATTCGGTAGGCTACAAAAGCTTCCTTGAAAATAGCCTACCATTATTGCTGGAAGATTTAAGCCTGGAAGCCAGACGGAACATGGTGTTCCAGAATGATGGTGCACCATGCCACAACGCAACGATCGTGCGAAACTACTTAAACGAAAGGTTCCCAGACAGATGGATCGGACGAAACGGACCGATACGATGGCCTCCACGCTCCCCTGACCTCAACCCCATTGATTTTTTTGTTTGGGGATATTTTAAAGACATACCATTCGCCCAAGAATGTGCAAATGAAAATTCATTGAGGAACAAAATTCAAGAAGCGACACATGTGTTGAAAAACAACACACAAGCATTTAGAGATTTAAAACAAAATTTCATACGTAGGTGTACACTGCGCATTTCTGTTAGAGGCAGACATTTTGAAAACCTCTTGTAAATAACATAAATGAATAATAATCTGCTTTTCAGTAAAAATCAAACGTGTTTTTGTGGTTTTTTGCAAATTTTTTTTCCGAAACTAACAATTTCTATTGAGCAGAGGGTTATCCAATTTTGGGTTCGGTTCTATTTGAGCCACAATTACGGTAGCATGTAGTAAAGCTAGGTTGATGAAATTTTTACGGTAAATAGCTGATACCGTAAGGAAGTTTTTAAGATACTTACGAATAGTAAGAACATGTTTTTTCAATTTTTTATAAACGTTCAAAGTTGTTGCACTTTTTTACTTTTTTGTTATGTTCGAGGATTTTGAAAAAATTAAAAAGTAGTATTAGTTACATGACTTGAATGATTATATGATAGTTAAGCCTTAGGTCTTAGCTACATAATCGTGAAAAAAGCAGGCATTTATCACAATTATTAACGAAGTTATGGTAAAAATAACACAGAACTCAAAAATTCTCGAAAAATCCGAAAAAAAATCATAACTCCTAAACTAAACAAAATCGGACCATATATATGGGGGTGATTTGGGTTCCTCTCGATGTGGGGAATCTAATTTTTTTTTTTATGACGTCACGTGTTTGGCCACCCTGTAGAAACATAGTAGGCTGCGCGGATCGAACGTCAGTACTGAATCTTAACCTCACTATTTAGTAAACTTAAATTCAGAGTTTCACAACAATACGTGCAGTGTTCTCACTACATTGAATTATTAAGTGTCACCAAGTCATTAGAAAAATGGAACTCAACTGTCTGTTTTCGGCAACGAAGTGCCACATCAGTTGACAATTTCCCGTTGGTATGGAGAATTCAAACGTGGGTGAGTCTTAGCGACGATCCCAGGGTGGGTGCACCAAAAACGGCAGTCACCCAGGAAAACGTCGATGCTGTGCGCAAACTGATCATTGAAGATAGACATGTGACATATCGCGAGATTGAGGCATCCTTGAAGATCTCAAAGACTTCAATTCAAAAAATTTTACATGAAGAATGAGGAGTAAGAAAATTAGTTTCTCGTTGGATTACCCACCTGTTGACTGAAGAGCAGAATGCAGCGAGGGTTAATTGGTGTCAAAAAACGCTTGACCGTTTCAAAAAATGTGTACAGCTTTGTTAGTGGTGACGAATCGTGGATTTACTGTTATCAACGAGAAAATAAACGACAGTTGGCTGTTTGGGTGTTCCAAGGCGAAAAGCCAACAAAGATCATCCGTTCTCGAAGTGTTTCGAAAAAGATGGTCGCGACATTTGTGTCAAAAGCGGGTCATATTGCAACAATTGCTCTTAATGAGCAAAGAACTGTTACTGCGGATTGGTATACCACCATTTGTTTGCCAAAAGTTATCACCGAGATTCGAAAAATCAACCCCGAAAGAAGAATCATCCTCCACCAAGACGATGCAAGCTCGCACACAGCCCAAAAAACAAGGCAGTATTTAACGGAAGAAAACGTGGAATTATTGAACCATCCTCCATATAGTCCAGATCTAAGTCCTAACGATTTCGTTACTTTCCTGAAAATTAAAAACAGACTGCGTGGTCAAAGATTCCAGTCACCAGAAGAAGCAGTTGACGCATTCAAAAATGCCGTTTTGGATCTGTCAGCAAACGAGTGGAATTGATTCCTGGAGAATACTGGGAAAAACAATAAAGTCATTTAAAGCTACCTACCGTGTTGTTTTATTTCCTTATGCAAAACTCAAAAGACATCCCTCGTACAATATTACGATATTCATCACGGCAGGGTTTCTTTGAGTATTAGGAAGTGGGTAATCCCAAAACTAACCCCAAAAACCAAGCTCTACTGAAGGTAATACTGTGCTAGAAGCACTAGACTCGTTCCAAAACTTTGTAGTGGTCAACGATGGTTCAGCTACGAGAATTACCCCACCAGGGCAAATTAAATCTGTCGTGGACATAACTATCCTATCTTCAGGTCTATGTTCTTCTTTCGCCTGGTCTACCCCTCCTGATACGTACGGCTCCGATCACTTTCCTATCAAGATTACTTTCAATGATATACGTTTAGAAAACACTCCCATAACTCCGACCTCCAAATGGTCCATGAAAAATGTTGACTGGGTCTTATACCGTACAGAAATTATAAAGTATTTTTCTGGTTTGCCCACATTTGTGGACACTAATCACATGATCGTCTTTTTACAAAGCTCAATCACAAACGCAGCCAACCAAGCATGCACAATTCTGAAACCTTTCTCTAACAAATCTAGATCTCCTCCCTGGTGGGATGACGAGTGCTCTTCATTAGTTAATTTCAGGAAAAACGCTTTTAAAACCTACAAGTCGAACCTCACTTTTGCCAACTACTTCGAATATAAAAGAACTGATGCCGTCTGTAAGCGGTCATTCCGAACAAAAGTAAAATCCAGTTGGGCTGAATTCTGCAGCAACCTAAATAGACAGCCCTCCCCGTCAAGTATCTGGAAACGGGTCAACAAAATTCAAAACTCTAAACAGTTTCATAGACAGGATGCATCTAGTGTAGAAGCACTTCTAAACAAGATAGCTCCACCGTATGCCTCCTGTCCTTTTTTCTCTAGTAATAGTGAACAGCACCTCCTTTTGTCACAAATCACGTCAGAAGAGCTGAAAGCAAATATTAAGGTCTCCAAGCTGACATCTCCAGGAATTGATAGTATCAACTACCTTATGATAGCAAATTTACCGCAGGTCGCTGTAGACTTTCTATGCAATATCTATAACCGTATTCTTATCCTAGGAGAAAACTGCGATGCCCTAAAAGCCGCTTTCATCATTCCGATTCCCAAAGCAAGCGACCCCAATTCCTGTAGACTAATCTCTCTAATGTCTTGCCTTTTGAAAACGTTTGAAAGGATCTTGAAGGCAAGGCTTGAATGGTGGTTGGAAAGCAACAACACTTCCCGAACATCACAGTTTGGCTTCCGTAGAGGACAAGGGGCTGTCGATTGCGTAGCGCATCTAGTGAGCGATATACAGATAACCTTTTCTGAAAATAACTACCTAGCATCTCTCTTTGTAGATATCTCCAGTGCCTATGACAATGTCATACCCGAGATTCTTTTTGATAAATTGCTTAGACTGAACTTACCTCAGAGCTACGCATGTGTCCTAATCAATCTATTCATTAACAGGAAGGTCTATATCCGATGTAACAATCAAGTCGTTGGCCCGAGAACAGTACATAGGGGCCTTCCACAAGGTTCCGTTATAAGCCCCCTTCTCTTCAACATATATACTCAGGACCTACATACTGCGGGGTTGGAATGCAGTGTCTTGCAATACGCCGATGACTTCTGCTTCTATGTTAAGAATAAAGTGTATCAACAATGTATTGATATGCTCAACGTTATAATGCATAGTTGCAACGATTATTTCTTCAACAAGGGTCTTGACATATCTCCCTCAAAATCTGCCGTCGTATTTTTTTCCCGTCACCGTTTACCTGTATGTACCATCTTGCCATTGGCCAACGTTGCGATCCCGGTTCACAGTAGTTACACCTATTTGGGTATCACGCTGGACACCAAACTGACTTGGGATTACCAAATAAACAATTGTCTTGTCAAATGCGAAAAAAGCCTGAACATCCTCAAAGCGGTTAACAGGTACAAATGGGGAGCTGATCCCAAAATAAATATCTTATTCTATAGATGCTATACAAGATCGATATTAGACTATGGATGTTTCTTATATGGTTCAGCTACGAAGACCCGCCTTGCCAAGCTCGATAGGCTACAGTATAAAGGTCTAAGGTTAGCCTTGGGGGCTCTGAAATCTACTCCAACAGCTACCCTGTTAGCAGAGTGTCAGGAACCTCCATTACACTTGAGAAGGTTATTCTTAGCAGAAAAGTTCATTATAAAATGCAGCTTCAATGACCAAACTGCACTCACAAGAAAAGTAGCTCAACTAACCACCCTCAACTTGACGCTTCCATGGTGGCAAAATAAAAACTCTCCTACACTTGCTGAAGCATACCCCAACATCTCTCTGTACAGTATAGAAGGAGATAATATACCATTTTTCAAGTCTCAATACAATATTTCATTCTCAAATTTAGAGACATACATCACCGTTGCTGAAAATCCTCCCATCATGAAGCACTTACTCCACGATCTACTACAAAAATTCGTGACTCCTTGTAGAATCTACACAGACGGATCCAAATCTGAGCAAGGCGTAGGGTGTGCTGTATTTATAGAAGACGACAAAGTGTCTCTAAAGTATAAACTGGATCCCATCTGCTCTATTTTCACCGCTGAGCTAGCAGCCATAGATCTGGCTCTTGAGTGGGTAGTCTGCAATCGTCCGTCATACCAAAAATTCATTATAATGTCAGACTCACAATCAGCTATACGCGCATTACAAAATGCGCCTTTTCACATATACCACAACAAAACCATCGTCTCAATACTGGAGAAGGAGTCTCAATTAAGACAACTAAGGAAATCAGTGGCATTTATATGGATAAAAGGTCATGCAAGAATTGAGGGGAATGAAATGGCAGATCGACTGGCTAAGGTAGCCGCCTCGTCCGGAGAAGGAAAACAATACGTAACTAAAACTGACATAGCCTCGTCGAGGAAGCTTAATATGAAAAAGAGCTGGCAAGCGGAATGGACTAATTTCTGTACCAACAATCATAACCAATACTGCAAAATTTATCCAAACCTCTGACTCCCCAATAGAGCTCAGAAGACACGTCAATAGGAGAGTACACTCAATGTACTTCAGATGTTTGGTCGGACATGCTACAGTAATAGCTTACCTGCACCGCTTTGGTCTCGAAGAATCGGATACATGTAGCTGTGATGGCAATAGGGATGATATCAATCATTGGTTGTTCCAATGCAAATTCAACTCAACCGCTTCAGTTTATATGATGAATGAGCTGGCTACACTTGGTGTTCCATTTCCTCAAAGTCAAACCTCCCTTCTGTATTCAAGCACTCGCAATTCATCAATTCGAAAAACTCTATGGGACTTCTTCAAGAGAGCCAGACGGAAAATATAATTAACGAGTTACACGAATTTAGAATTCAGTGAGATTGTTGTGTGACTTGAGTTATTTTTACCTGTGTTTTTGCCTATCTGTTATTAAACCTACCAACCGTTGCCTGTGTTGTCTGTCTTTAAAGTCGTCATGACCGGCACCTTGACGTGAAACGTGTATCCCCGTTCCTCCCTAATCTTGGTTCTTCTATTATAATTTCCTGGTTTTGAGTAGGGCCCTGTTACCTGTATGTATGTGGATCTATACAATATTGCTAGCAGCGGATCTATATGTTTTATTATAAATTTGAGCATGTTTATATCACTCTCGTGGCCGAATAGGCTAGAACTCCTAAGGCCATTAATAATAAAAAAAAAACCTTGCTATTAAGCTTTGCCCTAAGTATAGACTATCTTTCCGCCCCTCCAGCAAACATCATTAAAGCTGTACCTCTTTCTATGAGGGAGAATTTATATGCGTTTTGGGATACCGACAATAGTTGCGTCATATGTAACAAATCCACTCGGAGGATTTCTGCCGCTACGTCAAAATAACATAAAAAAGGTTTTAATTATACCGTTTCAAATTGCAGCTGCAAATTGAATGTCACTCTTTGAATAAGTGTGACAATACAGGCGAATTACAAATAAATAAACAAAAACAGAACTGCAATTACTCTGGACTGATGGCAGACAAAATATAATTTCCAAATTCGTTCGACCTACAAAAACATTGATCTGACAAACAATTTGCCAGGAGCACTCATCTTTTTTTTCAGTTTAAAAATTGCACTGTGTGCCTAGGGTACTATTTAATTCCGTCAATTCCAGTTTTACATAATAGAGTTTTGTAAAAAAAATACTAAAAGGCGACACAGAATTGCGACGTATATTTCCAACGGTGCTTTCCCAATCATAAGTCAGATAGATTTTTAATCAGTAAAATAGTGTTTCGTGTTGCTCCTTTCTACTGTCAAGTTTTCTACTACATCTGGTAATACATTTCCAAAAGAATTATATAAAAAACAGGTATGTAGGATCTCAGAGGATCGACTATTTAACTTTAGGGAAGTTGCTGCCGCGCTCAAATAGAGGTTCAAAAATTTCTGGCAATGCCTCTTTGTTAATTTGCAGTGTATGCTAAGCGTAGATAATACTGTAATAATTTAAAAAAAATGAGAGATATAAAAAGCCCATAAGCTTTGATTTTGTCTGTATAAAATAGTCAAAACTTTTGATATTAAATACTGGAAGGCATTAATTATTTTCTTGACACTTTTGAGTTCTTGACAGTGATGAATGCGATGTGCTTTATACTATAGTGGAGAGAGTTTCAGATTTTAGCATATTTTACGCATCCGTATAAGTACCTGCTTCAGTGCTTGCTCCTGACCTCATTATTTCAATCTCAACTTCTACCCAGGCTCTGTAATTCATTCAGCAACGTGGAAAATCTTGCGTCGTAGAGATTCGAGATGGAAATAATCATGGCACTTTCTCAGAACCGTCGCCGTTCTAAATTTAGAAAGAGAACCTATCCACCCTCATTATTATTTATGAAATTGTTTGTACGTCATGAAGAAACTAGATCGATTTAATTTTAAAGCTTTAGTTCTAGAAATTGTTTGGCGATCTACAGCAGAACTCGGTGCGCCAGGAAAAATCCATCAATTGTTCACGAACCTCATGTCAGAAGTCATACCTTCGGCATTCCATAAAAATTTCGTCAAGACGCTGGTTCTTCTCTTGTTGGCAATATTTGGTGCAGATTTATGCTCCCATGCTCCACACGGTGGCAGGCTTTATCCAAGAAAATTCACAATTATTGAATTCGTATATTTTTTATTTAATGGTAACTTCGGTTGTTCTGCATACGCATGTAGGAATATACAGTATCCAAAAAATGGTCTCGTCATTCATAAACACCTGGAGTAGGCAATTGAATAGCTTTTTCACCTAAATACTAATTGAATTATTAAACTGGGACCCTCAAAGCACGTTTAATTTTTTATGAATGGACAAATGTTGTGAAGAACATCTAGGACATAAAAACATTTGGTTAATCGCGGTAACTGTTCGGCAGAACCTGGAATATTGATTAAGAGTTAAGTAGTAATAATAATAATAATAACAATAACAATAATAATAATAATAGACGTTAACGAAATCTAACTTCAGCATGGATTGACTACAAGAAAGCTTTTGATTCAGTTCTCCAATCATGGATTCTAAAAAGTCTGCAACTTGTCGGTGTCAACGACAAAATCATTGAGCTTTGCAAACGAATGATGATATCTTGGAGTACCACGGTTCATATAAAAGGTCAAAATACTGAGATCGTCACATCAAAAATTAATATCAGAAGAGGCATCTTCCAAGGGGACGCCCTGTCACCTCTTCTTTTCTGTATCTCAGTCATTCCTTTGTCTGCTGAACTGAATAGAATGAGAGCTGGCTACATCTTAAATGGTTCCAAAGTCAACCACCACCTTCTCTATATGGATGATCTGAAACTGATTGGAAAAAATGAGACAGATCTAGAAGAACAAATCAACACAGTTAGAAGATTCAGCGATGATATCCATATGGAGTAACCTAATCAAACAGAAGGTCAAGAATACGTTAGAAGACTCAGGCTGCTACTCAGTAGTCATCGGTACAGCAGAAATAAGATCCGCGCGCTAGGTCAATTTGCATTGCCAGTACTTGTTTATAGTTTTGGCGTAATCGATTGGCAATTGGAAGAAATAAAAGCAATCGACCGAAAAACGCGTAAACTGCTAACATTATATGGCATGCTACATCCTCGCGCCGACACCGACAGGCTTTACGTTTCCAGGAAAGATGGAGGCAGGGGACTACAGCAAGTGGAGGCAGCCTACAAGTCAGCAATACTCAGTATAAGCGACTACTGTGAAAACAGCCCAGACAGAATGTTGATGATTGCCCGAAATTACGATCTCTCTCTGCCAGTAACTAAGTCCCTTATACAAACTGCAACAAAATTCCGTCGCCAATTATCTATACAGGAATCCTTAGGGCCAGACTTGCAGAAAAGAAAACTGACTTACAAAATATGTATCCAGTCGGCACTGAGGGATAAATGGCAAGGGAAGGCCCTGCATGGACAATATGTTACCCGAGTACTACAAAACCATAACCTCAGCAAAGAAGACACAGTGAGCTGACTCACAAGAGCAAACGTAAAGGGTGAAACAGAAAGTCTCATAACAGCGGCACAAGATCAAGCCTTAAATACCAACTACCATTCAAACCGGATACTGGGAAGAAACAACGATCCCAAATGTAGGATATGCAAAGAGAACGATGAAACCATATCTCACGTAATATCTCCATGCCCTATCCTCGCTCAGCGCGAATACGTTACAAGACACGACAGAGTTGCCAAGATCTTGCACCACTCAATCTGCAAAGATTTCGATATTGACGTTAAACACCGTTGGTATGATCATGAACCATAGCAGGTTGTAACTGCAACTAATGTCACCATTCTTTGGAATCAGCCTATAATAACAGACCGAACAATTGCTGCCAACAAACCGGACATCGTTATCAAAGACCATAAAAGTAAGTTATGCACTACAATTGATGTTGCAGTACCATCAGATTACAACGTGAAAGACAAAGAGGCTGAAAAGTTTCTAAAGCACCGGGATTTGTCTATTGAGATAAACAGAATGTGGCAAATGCGTACGCACATTGTACCAATTATAATAGGTTCCACAGGTGCCGTGTCTAAGTATTTTGACGCACATGTAAAGGCAATCTCAGGTACCTTAAACCCTTACCAACTTCAAACTGTAGCCATATTCGGTACAGCCCACATTATTTTGGAGTCAAATAGAGAAAATATCGATTCGTTATGGTCTTATGAGGTTTGCTCGTAATTTATATCGAGTATCATGGCAGTATGTGATCTTATCGCGCTCACTGACAACTTTGTGATAATGGCTGATGGTATATAAAAAATAAAGTTACCGGATATCAAACAATTTTGATCCGTTATATAAACCATTTTTTGCATATAATTCTGGTTGTCCGAAAATAGTTTTTAGAATAGTGGTCTGTAAAACTTCTATGTCGATTAAATACACTAGACATGTTGTACCCCATGCTAATATTACAATACATTGGATGCACCTTAATTAAGACATGATATATAGTACGTATATAATTATCTGTCAATATGGATTATAAAACAAATTTACATAGTATTGTATTGTATTCCACCTTAAGCCATCTAGCCATCTTTCATGCTATGTAGAAAATCCAGATGAGACTTGATCTGATATTTATTATGCCACTGTTCCATGCTGGCCATGCTTGCTGCTGTTTAGAGTCGTGAGCTGTCCTCCTGATAGGCTTCTGATTATCATCTGCTGAACACAGCAAACCAAAAAAATTTCGCGCCCCTTTATACCTAGGGAATCGAGATTCCTGAAGAGCCTCGGGTAGAACTCCTCTGAGAATATACTTCCTTAGCATTTAATAATCTAATGAATAGATGCGATGGGAAGATTGATAAATAATAAATTCGGAGGACCTGCGGGATGTGGCATGGACACATCGTATATTATAAAAGTTTACTAAAGTAGCTGCGGCTGGGGGCAGCCTTCCAGTGATGAGATAAAGAAAAATGCGAATATTACAAGAAGTAATGCGATTTGCGTCTTGAAGCTGTTTGCGGATCACCAGACTCCCCCTATATGCGGAGTTGCCACGTAACCTTTGCATCTCTCCTTCAGTATCAAGCGTAGGGCAGGAAGATGGTTGCAAAAAACTATTTTAAAGGAAAGTGGCGTGACCTCAATTCAAAAAATTTTACATGAAGAATTAGGAGTAAGAAAATAAATTTCTGGTTGACTGTTGACTGAAGAGCAGAAAGCAACCACGGTTAATTGGTGTCGGAAAACGTTTGACCGTTTCAATTCGGGAAACTCAAAAAATGTATACAGCATTGTTAGTGGTGACGAATCGTGGATTTACTGATATGAACCAGAAAATAAACGACAGTCGGCTGTTTGGGTGTTCCAAGGTGAAGAAAAACCAACAAAAGTCATCCGTTCTCGAAGTATTTCGAAAAAGATGGTCGTAACATTTGTGTCAAAAGCGGGTCATATTGCAACAATTCCTCTTAATGAGCCAAGAACTGTTACTGCGGATTGGTATACCACCATTTGTTTGACAAAAGTCATCACCGAGCTTCGAAAAATCAACCCCGAAAGAAGAATCATCCTCCACCAAGACAATGCAAGCTCGCACACAGCCCAAAAAACGAGGCAGTATTTAACGGAAGAAAACGTGGAATTATTGGACCATCCTCCATATAGT